CAAAAAGCCCCAAAAGCGACAGGACTCCCTCGAAAGCGATACTCCTCAATATAATTTAAAAGGTAACCACGATTGTGTTTTGGCTGAACACACAAATGCGATACCTTGCTTGCATCCTACGCCCAAACCCCGCAAAGGCGATAGGATCCTCCCACCTTGTCCATAGCATCAGATTATACAAAGAGTGTCTGCGAACGCTCAAGGGCAGCAGAAATCTGCAAGATCAGGGTCAACGATCATGGGCGGCAGTGGCCGGGGTCGGTGGATGACGGGTGGCAGCATTTCACTCACTGTTTGTGAGAACATGCAGTCGTTTCATGTGCAGCTGCAAATGGCTAGCTTGATGTTGAGCCTGAAGGGTCAGTGCGAATCAGGACGGCAAAGAAATCGAAAAGTTGGTAGATTTGGTTGCCATGCGCAACACGGCGGGTAAAGCAAAGCCTTCCCTGTGACGGTCAATGACGCAAAGGTCGATGATGCACCCTCGGACGGAGAACGCCATTCTGTCTATTGAACAGCCATTGGCATACTCGTTTTGCTCTGGACAGGACTTGGGTGGAATTTTGGGCCACTGTATGGGCGACGGATCCTCGCGTCGTCATATACCTACTATATAGCCTGTACAAACCCAATTAAGGGCCTATCATGCCAATTATGTAAGGGCCCACAAAGCCCTACACGCCCGATTAAGGGCCTATCATGCCACGGAGGACCAAAACGGGTTTTGGCTGAGCACAACCTGGACCCCAAAAGTATGTAGAATGATAACCTTCATGGCTGTTACTATGGGTTTAGGGCTATTAGTTTAGATGCAATTTGGGGTCTAGGAAAGTCCTATGAAACCTTAGCTGCACGAGCCAAAGCTCCGTGGGCACAAGGCGCCTCTGCGGCACAAGCCACAACCTGACAGATACCTGGGTTATCCAGATCCCCAAAAGGATCCAAAAAATGGAGCTCCCTAATAATCCCTTAGTTTCCCCAATGTATTAATGGGTTCATATGGGGGGGGGGTCCATTTATTGGATCCTTTAGGGGGTCGGGGTAGTCGGGCGTAGCAGGAATGCCGCTTACTAGCCCCACGGGCCCCACGGGGACCACACTGAACCCTAAAATGATCAGCCCTTGCAGTCTGCACTAGATAGAACTTCTTATCAGCCTTATCCCAGCTGAGCAGCGATGGATGCTGCTGGTGGAATGTCAGACTTACCCTACTAAATACAAAACCTTCAGATCCGTTTGGAGGGTTTTGGGGGATCAAGGTTTATGGCTTATAGGATTCAATCCAACCCTTCAGCCCCCTTCTCTGTATGTTTGACTTTTTGGACCCCTGGTAACTTCAACCCAGAACACTGAAGCTTGTGAGGTTCAAATCTCTGACGATTCAGGTTTTGGGCAAGGGTTCGGGGAAACGTCTCAAAGTAGTGCACACGAGACGCCTAAGGGGAAAGCCCTAAATCCTAAACTTTAAACCTTAAACCCTAAACTCTAAATCCTTGACCCTAAATTCGAAACCTTCAACCCTAAACTCTAAATCTTAAACCCTAAACTCTAAACCTTATAAACCCTAAACTCTAAACCTTAAACCCTAAACTCTAAACCTTAACCGCTTTGAGGTAGAGTTTGTCGTGGATCCCTTCTGCAACGAGCTGAGCCTGCGTGAGGCCATCCAAGGGCTTAACAGCTGCTTTGCAAAATGCCTATACACGGTACAGGCTGTGGGTTTAGGGCTTAAGAGGGTTTGAGAGGGTTTGAGAGGGTATAAGAGGGTTTAGGGTTCAGAGTTTAGGGTGTAGGGTTTAGGGTTTATATGAGTTACTGTCAAGATTAGCTTCGTTCAGGGACCAGTAAAAGTGGATATAGGGGTTTCTCTTGTAGATACGTTTAGTCCCTGATGAGGAACCCATGCCGACTGTAGCTCATATGCCACCTCAGGAGTATTGGGTACGGAACGTCTTCCGGTCCATATATTATGGGTTTGCCTGACCTCCTGCTGTAATACCCCACCTTTTGGTTTCTTCAACAGGGAAATCTAGGGGGGTAGTTCAGGGGGTGCCATTGACACATACTAATTGAGCCTTGTGCATAGACATGTATATATATATATACACGCATATATATGTAATGTGTAGACAATTGCATATGTGTATATATGCAATCTCGAATTATGCGTGTGCAAAAAAGCCAGTGGCGCAACAACGTTGATGCTGTCTGCAGAGGGCCGTGAAACACGAGACTGACCCGAAACCCTAAACTTTGCAGAATCCCAGACTTACCAAGCCCAATACAAGTTGAAACTGAGCTTGAGCTGGAACATGTTGGGCCCATATTGCCTTAACC